AGCAGCCACAGCAGGGACAGCCGCAGCAGCAGGAACAGCCGCCGCAGCAGGGACAGCCATAGCAGCAGGTGCAGCGGGAGGTCCAGCAGCAGTTTCAGCAGTGGGGACCTCCCCAGCAGTGGGGCCCTCCGCAGCAGTGGGGACCTGGTGGTTCGGGGAGCGCTGGCCACAGCAGCGGCCCCACCAGTTGGGGCCATCGTCCCACTGGCCGCGACGTTGGTCCCTGCCACTACTGGATCCAGACGGGTCTGGGTAGCGGCGCTTACTGCGGGCACTCCGACCACTCTGCAGCGCGCTGCTTCCGACGCCTCGACGACCTCTACCGTCACCGACACGGCCCTGAGGCTCCCCCACGCTGGGCGACGCTGCTTGCTCGTCGCATTTAGGTGTTTGATCTGAACATGGATGATGCTCGTGCTTATGCATCTGCCATGTATGCTGATGTTGACTATAGTGCCACATGATCTGTTTGCTCGCTTGTTCCTAGACTAGGATCCTTGCCTGTTGCTAGTGTAGGTGCGTGTGTTTCTAGTGTAGGTGCTTGTGTAGTTACTAGACCAGGTGTACCCCCGCTGACGCGTCGCTGTCCTTCACGCTTGACTCTGGCGACCACACCACTGTCACACCTCTTCTTGCACGAGTCTCACATTCCCTGGCTGATCCTACTTCAGGACCAGCTGTCGATCGCAGCTCTACCACCCTCCGGTGCCCAGCTGTCCCCTCTGGTTTCCTCTTTGGTCTCCACATCCCCTTGTTCTCCAGGAACTTGGTGGGTGTTGGACACCTTCGGGATCGTAGGGTCACAACCACTTTCCCTGCATACAAGAGGTTTGCGACCTGTACGGACGCTACTATCGGGTCACGTCTTGCCACGTTTTCCCGGTAGCCCCGCTCAGGTCTCTTCACACTGCACATTGCGTCCCCCCAGGTAGTTGCGTCTAGTCGGGTTGATGCGTCGTGCTCCTGTCGGGCGCTCACCCACACGGCTGTCCTGTGGCACCACCATCTTGGTCACCCGTCCCTCCCATGCCTCCGTCTCATGTCTAGCCTCCGTCTTGTCTCAGGTCTCCTGTCCTTGTTTCCGTCACTCCCTCCTTCGCCTGCGCCGCCGTGCACTCCTTGCGTCGAGGGTAGGCTGCGCGCCAACCCTCACTCCTCCTCCCTTCGCCAGGCCACCGCCCCCTTCCAGACTCTCTAATTGGATGTCTGGGGCCCCGCCCCAGTCATTGGTGTTAGGAACGAGTCACGCTATGTTGGCATGCACGGCGACATGCGTGAAACTGAAACCATGGGTGTTTTTCAAGCGAGTTCCGAACGGCAATTTTCCACCTGGTAAGCAGCATGAGATGTGCCAGATGTTTGATGTTTATCGTACAGGAATTCCTCGGAGTTTCTTCAACTAACCATCATTCCTGTTTATGCACAGATGTGGTCGTGGCGGTGCAGCCCACCGGCTGGATGGACACCGCGAGCGTCGTGTGCTGGCTCGACGAGGCGATTGCGCCCTTCATCAAGCCACGGTTTCGAGTGCGTGCGCGGAGCGCGACGCTCGTGCTTGACTCATACCGCGGTCATCTGACGCCCGCGGCGTCAACGTGCACATATACATTTGTCATGTGTAATTTGTAGGCTAGGTTGAGTTGTACTAAAGATGGTATGGGATTTTGGATATACTCTCTCTGTATGTATACATGCCTTCTTCAATTAGTTGTTAACACTGATGTATACGACGTCGAGATTAAAAAAATATCGAAATTCAGCGGATTCATAATACAGCGTTCTCAGTGTTCTGACACGTGGGAACCACTGTGCGCGGAACTTCGAGAGCAAATATGCTGCCCCGGGCATCCTTGTCCAATCAATTTCCTTCTCCAGTCGATTTTCATCGAAGGAACCAGATGTAGGCAACTCGTCCGACATGGTTCTACTCTTTGAGCCAAAAGCAACATATTTTCAGCACCTGGACATGTCCCAGGTTCCTTTTCCACACCCTTCCCGTGCGAATTTGGCTAAATACAACTGTTCGGGCAGCGGGCAGGCAGCCGTACGTGCTCCTTCGTCATCTCGTCGGTTTCGCTGCTCACCACCATTCCCTGTGCAACGTCATCGGAACATGCTGGCATCAGCGGTGCTCATTTCCCCTAGCAGTTACATTTTCGATGAAGCTTTGGCGTGTAAATTCGTTCGTTGACGCACCTTCCTCGAATTCGTCACCAGGCTCACAGAAGCTGCCGATGTCGTAAGCATCTGCCGCAACGGTCGTCCAGTGTTGCAGTGTCGCATGGACGACCCGTGCGAACCTGACATTCGGGGAAGCTCGACAAACCTCACCTGACGGAAACGAAAGCGTTACTCCCTCCGGCCTCCGCACGGATGATTTGAGCCGTAGATGACAAGCTTTGGAAGAGTTTCATCGAGCGAGACATGGCCACCTTTAGTTCATGCCGAGTTGACACGTGTCGTAGAATGTATGCCCATAACGTTACCCAACTCCTCCCCATAGAGTCTGTCACCGACCAGATTCCTGGTATGCTGCACTAGCCAACATGAAGCCCCGTCGCAGGCAAGCAATTCGCGAATCGCGACGCGACTGGTCGCCTCCACCTTCGTTTGATCTGCGGGTACCTTTCGAACCGGAACGCGGTGATGGCAGGTACTGTACAGTGAGGAGGATTGGCTGGCGTTGCATTTCTGATCAGACCTGTCATTCGCCCCCTTCCCACACCCTGCCCGCAAAAGCAAGCAAGATTCGTTTCACCTCAGCAAGAGTTTCCCTCTTTCCCATCTTGTGACAGCAAATTTCAGTACATGAGATAACTCTGGAACGTGGCTGTTGCATGAACAATGGTTATTCAACGGGTCCTTCCACAACTGGGTGAGAAAACTTTGGCAAAATAACCCAGTGGCCAGTGGAAAGTCTGGACGTGCGGCGGGATGGTTTTTTTATTGTTTAAATTAGAAAGGGTATATAGCCCAGTTTGGGGATGTCACTGGATTATCCTAATTGTAGGACGACGTCATGCAGATTATACTGTACGTTTGGTTGGAGCACTTGCACTTTTCATACAGCCCCCCTGGAGGCGAAGAGCCCGTTTCGCGCTTTCCGCTAGCCGCACTTGCCCCTGGCGGCGTGTCCGCACCCCAACATCCGCGGCATGGAGGCTGCCAGATTCCGCGTGCGGCTGTCTGTCTCCCCAGATCCTCCCCACCTCACATGCAGAGTTTTTTCGGCTCGGAGTGATTTCCCGAGGAGGTGAGTGTCTCGACCCAATTCTCCCCATCCCAACCTCACGTCCATAAAACCAACGTGATGACAACTATTGTTTGTCCACCTCTACCAAGCTGCTTATCTTGATCGGAGCTTCTGCAAGAGAGTGCTGCAACGACGCATTTCTACTGTGACAGACAGTAGTACCTCGCGCTGCAAGCTGTCGCCTTGAAACTCAGTTCCTGTTTGCTGCGATTGGGAAAGTGCGGTAGTAAACGTCACTATTGCTCCTTGAGTTTCGGAGGCTGAATTGATTCTGTCCACGTTGTGTGCGTGTTAAATGGCTTCACAGACCGCCATTGGCATTAGAACTCACATACAAACACCACCGAACAATGGAATCGACATCGCGCCGTCAAACGCGCTCCGCAGCACGCTCGGCGCGGTTGAAATGGCGGCGCTGGAAGGCAAGCTGCAGCTGCTGCAAATCCAGCGAGAGCTCTCAGCCGTCCGATGCCAAGGCTTCATTGAGATGATCCAATCCTCGCTGCTCGCAGAGCAAGAAGAAGCCGCCGCCGCATCCGCCGTGAAATCCGCAGTAAAATCTGCTGCAAGATCCGCTGGCGGCGGTGACGCCGCATCTGGCGGCGGCGCTGGCGCTGATCCGAGGCTGACGCGGAATGGCGTCGAGCCGCTGGATCGATCGAGGTGCCAATCGCGGCAGCTTTTCCGGCATATGTCGCTCGAAGTTCATCCAACGGCCGGCAACCAAACTTGGAAAGAAGATCTTAGCTTTTACGACGAACCCACGTCGTGCTCTCCACGCGTGCAGGGTCATGGTGGAAACGCCGCTTCTCACGGTAGCCCTTCGCGGTTGCGCGGTTCCCCGCGACACAGATCCCCGCGCAATGCTTCCGCGCGCGCGCAGGCTGGCGCATCCGCTTCGCCGCGCGCCCTTGCGCAAACGCCTGCTCTTCTTCGGCCCGGATCTCCGCTCGTTGCTGCGCCAGGCGCGCGTCAGCTTCCGCTTACTCCGCGCACGGTTTCCGCCGCTACTCCGCGAGTTGCTGCGCTTGCGAATTCGTCCCTGCGGAGGCACGTGAGCCTGAGTGCAGGGTTCGAATCCCCGTGCCAATGAATATTCTCAACGAAGGCGGTAACTTCAGCGAATTCAGCAGACACGCTGTGTTACTCCGCAACTTCCAACTGACACAAACTGTACAACTCATTACAATTTACTGCTCTACTACTTACCGAAGCAAATAAAGTTAGTGTAGAACACCCAGCTAGGCTGCCTCCTCTTACTGGCACAATGTCAGTATCTCGTTTAGTGAATTTCTAGAAGGGGTTTGCCAGAGCCGACCCCTCACACGGTGTAAGCAACGTGTTTGCTTTTTGTACATAATGGAGTTTAGTACCATTTGCTCTGGTGAACATTTGCTTGCTGCCGACAATTGGATTTGTCAAATCACTTCAAATCATGCACTGCACTAACTCCCTATTCTGCCACGGTTGCAATAAGTAGTGCATGTGCAAATGGTGAGACTGATGTTAGCATCAATAACCCTACCCACAGAGATATCAATAAATCAACACTCTCTGCCTGCAATGCCCTGCATCCCCTGCAAAAACCCACCCACCACAACTCTCCCTTCTCGTCCTCTCCAGACAACCATTTGTGGGTAAGCAAATTCTCCTCCCCGCTTCAGCAGCACTCCCTGCCTGCCCTGCCCTGCCCTGCATCCACCACAACTCTCTTTTCTCGTCCTCTCCATGCACCCATGCCCTCTTTCTACCCGGTAAACCCATCCACCACCACTGCCCTCCCTTCCACATTAAGTTCTCCTCCCCACTGCTCCACACAGATCCCCCCTCCACCCTTCAATAGAGTCAATACCCCCTCTCTGCCCTCGTTCCACTTGGTAAACCCCTCCACCACTGCCCTCCCTCTCCTCCTCCTCACACACCCTTGGTAACCCAGCAGATTCTCCCAGCTGCTCCACACAGGTTGCTCCCCCACCCTTCTTCCACCTTACCTACCCTCTGCTTGCTCGGCCCTGCTTCCACTTGGTAAACCCCTCTACCACTGTCCCTCTCCCCCTCAGCACACACCCACTGGCAGCCCAGCAGATTCTCCTCCCACCCTCTGCAGTACTGCAGGCAGCACGTGCTGCTGGAAGAAGCGGGCCAGTATTAGTACCCTCTGCCTGCTCGGCCCTGATTCCACGTAGTATACCCCTCTACCACTGTCCCTCTCCTCCTCCTCACACACCCACTGGTAGCCCAGAAAATTCTCCTCCCACCCTCTGCAGTACTGCTGGCAGCACGTGGTGTTGGGAGAATGCCTCTACTCTCTGGCTCGTGCTGCTGGGAGACGGGGCTCAGTACCCTCTCTCTGCTCTGCCCTGCATCCACTTTGCATACCCCTCTACCACTTCGCTCTTCTCCTCCTCCGATACCCACTCGTAGGCAAGCAGATTCTCCTCCCACCCACTCGTAGCCCAGCAGACGGGGCTCAGTACCCTCTCTCTGCTCTGCCCTGCATCCACTTTGCATACCCCTCTACTACCTCCCTCTCCTCCTCCTCCGACACCCACTCGTAGCCCAGCAGGTTCTCCTCCCACCCACTCCACGGTTCCCCTCCCACATCCAACCACTGCAGCATGGCTGGCAGCACGTGGTGTTGAGAGAATGCCTCTACTCTTTGGCACGTGCTGCTGGGAGAAAGGGCTCAGTACCCTCTCTCTGCTCTGCCCTGCATCCACTTGGTATACCCCTCTACCACTTCCCTTTCCTCCTCCTCCGATACCCACTCGTAGGCAAGCAGATTCTCCTCCCACCCACTCCACGGCGCTCCTCCCGCCTCCACCCACTGCAGCATGGCTGGCAGCACGTGGCCTTCGGTGAATGCCTCTACTCTCTGGCACACGGCAGGGGACATGCGGAGCGATGGGGGGGAGGGAGGCGCTGCAGCAGCTAGTACCCTCTGTCTGCTCTCCCCTGCATCCACCGGGAATACCCCTCTACCACTTCCCGCTCCTCCTCCTCCGATACCCACTGGTAAGCAAGCAGATTCTCCTCCCACCCACTCCACGGCTCTCCTCCCGCCTCCAACCACTGCAGCATGGCTGGCAGCACGTGGTGCTGAGAGAACGCCTCTACTCCCTCGCACACGGCAGGGGACATGCGGAGAGTGTTTCGAGTGTGGGTGCTGGCGATTTCACGAGGGGATTCGGCACAGTGCCACTGAGTGTATAGCGCCTCTGCCTGCTGCTGCTGCTGCTGCTGCTGCTGCTGCTGCTGCTGCTGCTGCTGCTGCTGCTGCTGCTGCTGCTTGAAACGGTCTGTTGATTCAGCTTCTAGAGGCGTGCTGGAGTGAGGAACCTCAAGTTCGGCAGCAGAAGAGGAGGATTTGTTTCCGGGCAGCTTTGGCGCCCGGAAGGGCATGAAGGAGCAGTCGGCCAATAGGAGGCCTTGGGGCGGAGCGAGGGGCAGCACGATGCGGGAGTGGCGGGCGAGGGAGGGCAGCAGCATGGAAGAGGGGATGGCACCATGGAGAACAGCCAGAGCTGTCCCCACCATCTTGCGGATCTAAGAGGGAGGGGCAAACGGGTTGAATGGGGGGGCAGTGAGTAAAGTGTGGGAGCAGTGAGCAGGGAGGGCAGCAGCCTGGAAGAGGGGATGGCACCATGGAGAACAGCCAGAGCTGTCCCCACCATCTTGCGAATCTGGAAAGAAGGGCGGATCAAGGGAGGACAAGGAGAGGGGGAGGAGAGGAAGTGGTGAGGTTTCTTGGTGCATCAAACCCGCCTTTCAACTGCCTCCAAACCGCCTCAAACCGCCTCAAAACGACTCGAAACGTGCCCAATAGTGCCAGAGGAATGGGGGAGGGGGAAGGCGAGGGGAAGAACGATGCGGGAGTGGCGGGCGAGGGAGGGCAGCAGCAGAGAGGGGGGGATGGCTCCGTGCAGCACTGCTAAGGCTGTTCCCACCATCTTGCGAATCTGAAATCTGAAATATTGGTAACCACATTACAGCTACAAAACCTCGCTGAACAAGGGAGGGAGATTGCCCCGGCACCCAGCACTCCCTGGTGATTCAAAAGTTTAGGGTCGACAAAAGTATACGAAATGCCCTCCACTCTCAGATCTACGCTACTACGCTCTAGAGGCAGCATAACCCGATGCTAAGCAGGTCGTGACTAAATAGCGAGCTCATTTTACCAAGTTCCAGGGTTTAGGGGTTTAGGGTTTAGGGTTTAGGGGTAATGGGGAGCGTGAAGGGGAAAACAGGAAGGTGTCACAAGCCTAGACGCGTGGGCGTAATTACATGTCCGCACCGAAGTCATTTCCGCCCTCTAACATAACGGCGCCGCCAGACCCCTTCCTACAGCCTCGCCTCGTTGTCCGACGCGTTCCGGGAAACACGTTTCCTCTTCACGCCACCGTGAACGCGGGCGACGCGGCCCAAACTGCCGAACGCGCACGAGCACAAACGCAGACTGATCGCACAAAAACGCGACCACGTGTCCGTTCTAGCCGCCGGGAGGCGAGGTTGAGGTACGGAACGACTGCTGAAACGTCTGCATGTCCCCCCCATATCCGCCTCCTCGTTATCCCTTCTCGCCTCCCCAATTCTCCATCCCGCCTCAACCGCTTCCCCTTCCTACTCCGCATTGCCCATTCCTGCCACGACGTTTCCCCTTCCCGCCGTCTCAATTCACGTTCCCTGCACCCCGTATCCCCTCAGAGTTTCCCCGTCCCGCACGCCGTATCCCCTTCCCGCCTCCCCAACTCCCCTTTCCGCCACCCATTTTCCCCTCCCCGGGTCCCGATTACCCCTTCCCGCCTCCCCGGTTGTCCTTCCCGCCCCGCATTTACCCTTTCCGCCTCCCCGTTTCCCCTTCCCGTACCCCGTATCCCCTTCCCGCCTCCCCAAATCCCCTCTCCGCCACCCCTTTTCCCCTCCCCGTGTCCCTTCACGAACATATCGCCTCCCCGGTTTCCCTTCCCGCCCCGCAATTCCCTTTCTGCCTCCCCGTTTCCCATTCCCGCTCCCCGTTTCCTCTTCCCCCATTCGCGTTCCCCTCCCCGCTCCCCATTACCCCTCCCCACCTCTCCGTTTTCCCTTCCCACCTTCCTGTTTTCCCCTTCACGCTCCCCATTACCCCTCCCCATTACCCCTCCCCGCCTCCCGGTTTCCCCTTCTCGCCGCCTCAATACCCGTTCCAGCCTCCTCGTTTCCCCTAGCCGCCTCCCCGTATCCCCTTCCCGCTCCCCGTACCCCCTTCCCGCTCCCCGTACCCCCTTCCCGCTCCCCGTATCCCCTTCCCGCTCCCCGTACCCCCTTCCCGCTCCCCGTTTCCCCTTCCCGCTCCCCGTTTCCCCTTCCCGCTCCCCGTTTCCCCTTCCCGCTCCCCGTTTCCCCTTCCCGCTCCCCGTTTCCCCTTCCCGCTCCCCGCTTCCCCTTCCCGCTCCCCGTTTCCCCTACCCGCTCCCCGTTTCCCTTCCCGCTCCCCGTTTCCCCTTCCCGCTCCCCGTTTCCCCTTCCCACCTCCCCGTTTCCCCTTCCCACCTCCCCGTTCCCCTTCCCACCTCCCCGTTTCCCCTTCCCACCTCCCCGTTTCCCCTTCCCACCTCCCCGTTTCCCCTTCCCACCTCCCCGTTTCCCCTTCCCACCTCCCCGTTTCCCCTTCCGGCTCCCCGTTTCCCCTACCCACCTCCCCGTTTCCCCTTCCCACCTCCCCGTTTCCCCTTCCCACCTCCCCGTTTCCCCTTCCCACCTCCCCGTTTCCCCTTCCGGCTCCCCGTTTCCCCTACCCACCTCCCCGTTTCCCCTTCCCACCTCCCCGTTTCCCCTTCCCACCTCCCCGTTTCCCCTTCCCACCTCCCCGTTTCCCCTTCCGACCTCCCTCTCATTCCCCACCCCCTTCTCAAGCTCACCTCCCCCCTTTCTCCCTCTCATTTCCCCTTATGAGCCTCCTCGATCCCCCCCCCCCTCCTCCCCCCTCTCGTATCCTCCCCTTTCACCTGCTCGTTCCCTCCACTTCTCCCTCTCGTTGCCCCGCGTGCTGCCACTCCTTTCCCCTTTGTATCCCTCTCATTCAACCCCCCTTCTCCCTCTCTTTTCCACCCCTTTTCCTTCTCCTTTTCCCCCCTTCTCCTCTCATCTCCAACCGTGCTCCCTCTCATACCCGCCCCTTATCCTGCTCATTGCCCTCCCTTCTCCTTCTCATTTCCCCCCCCCTTCTCCCCCTCATGCCCCCGTGTTCAACCCCCCTCTCCCCTCTCTGCCTTACACTCCTCTTACCCAATTCCCATCTCTTCCGTACATCATTCTACCCCCACCTACCGTTCTCTGCCTTACGCTCTGCTTCCCACTTCAGGCCTCTCTCCTCCCTACACCCTTCTTCCGCATCTGCCCTCTCTGCCTTACTCCCCTCTACCCCCTTTCCCCTCTCTTCATTACACCCTTCTTCCCCCACCATGCGTTCTCTGTCATATGCCGCGCTACCCCCCTTTTCCTCTCTTCCTTGCACCCATCTTCCCCCTTTTCCATCTCTCTGCCTTACGCCCATCCTCCCCCCGTTCCCTCACATCCTTGCACCCTTCTTCCCCCACCATGACTTCTCTGCGTTACACCCCGCCTTGCTCTATTCCCCACTCTGTCTGACCCCCCTTCCTCCCTCTTCTCTACACCATTCTTTACCCTCTCCCCTATCTGCCTTACTCTTTTCTTCCACCTTTCCCCTCTCTACCCCACACCCTTCATCCCCCATCATGCGTTCTCCCCCTTATATCCTGCTAAACCCCTTTTCCCTCTCTTCCCTACACCCTGCTTCCCTTTCCCCGTCTCCTTCTCTGCCTTACGCCCTGCTTCCCCCTTTCCCCTATCTTCCGTACACCCTTCTTCCCCCTCTCTACCCGTTCTGCCTTACAATTTTACTCTTCCTTTCCCTCTCTGGCATTCACCCTGCTTCTCCCTGGGTTGTACCCAGAGCCGGACACGGAGGGGTATTACGTGCGATGTGACAAGGACGACGTGGTGTGGTTCAACGACTATGATAAGATGATGCCTGATGTGGTCGACTTTGAATGTGACGGGATTGTTGGGTTCATGCGTAGTCATTATGGTGATAGCCAGTAAACGCATGATAGTTACCTTGACAAGCAAGTTTGTATTTGAGACCTAGTGACCATAAGGAGCATTCCTCTGCCCTACACACTCGCATGTCACTGACATTATATGGTTGGCAGATAGGCTGAAAACGTAGGCATGGGGAGACATAGCGTTGCGTCTTTGATGCACCTGTGGAAGCTACATGGCTTGGTGCTAACGTTTCAGTCACATTTGACTTTTTACATTTCATTGTAAAGGTAGCTAAAAGGCGGCCAAAGATGCAGTGTTCAAAGGGGGTTCCTGCAAACCTGAAAACCATTCCAGAGAGCGCGGGATCATGGCATGGGTGGGAGGGGATAGGGAGCGAAAAGGGAGAGGGGAATGGTGGTTGAAGTAGGGATATGCGCGAGAAAGGACAGAGCAAAACTTGCTCGTGGAGAATGAATATTGGAAGGCAAGAGCGGTACTTTGATACATCACACTTCGCGCCTCTGTAATTGAGAAGAATGAAACGTGGATGAGGTGCCTTGGCAAGAGTGCAAGAAGAAAAGACACGGAGACGAGGGAAACCATAAGGAAAGAATGGGGGGTTTAGGAAGTGGTGTTAGGTGGCGTGGTGGTGCGGCAGAACTTGATGGTGTCGGGGCTGCTGGATGGGGCATGGGGGGGAGGGTGAGACTCTGTCGATGAGAAGGCGAGGGGAGAAAATATCGGCAGAGTGCTCGCCTCCTCCGATAAAAAAAAGCCACAGATGAAGGAGAGAAATGGGAGGGCGGGAGGTAATACAATTGAAGTGGGAATGCAGTCTGGGGTGGGATGCGGTGGATGGTTGAACCTGAAAGACCTCAACCGAGTGAGTGCAGATACACCCGTGAAAAGCTACGGCATGCCTGGAGGGAGAGAGGCGTGGTGCGGTGCAGATGGGAGTGGTGTGGGGGGTGGAAGTCAAGGTGCCGAGCAGCAGGGGGGGGGGGGAGGCAGGAAGGCGCAGCAGGCAGCAGGCAATGCAACCCTTCAGACATGAGTAGAGGGGCCTTGCGACCCACCAGGCAGGAGCAGGAGGCGTCGATTGGGCGGTGGTCATGGGCCATGGCGGCATGCTTGAGTTTCAACACGCCCTCCGGGATCAGGGCCGTGCTGAAGCAGGCCGAGCGCGTGGGGCAGGCACAGTCGTGCATGTCTGCTCCCTGGGCAGAGCCCACCAATGGCGTACCTGCAAGTGAGAAATGGTGCAGTGTAGAGTAAGCGGGGTCGACTGGAATGGATAAGGCAGAGGTGAAAGAGACAAAGAGCAATGTAGGGGAAGCCAAAGAATATCTAGGGTGTTCAGACAGGGTAACCCAAAGAATAGCCTCATATGCCCAGACAAAACGAGCAGAACTGTGATGGCTCCAGAACTGTGATGGCTTTGTTTCGAACCAATCCATACTCCGGTAGGACTGTGTCATTCCCCCTCAGCTCCTAAATAATCCACACTCAGCAAACACACTGTGACGTACCCGGGACGGTCCATGTCGAAAAACCCCTTCTGGCAGATGTTTATTGATGCTGAGGGGCAAAAGAAAGGACGTGGAGGGAGGAAGGAGCAAGCATGGGTTTGAGCATTGGAAATATTGGCAGAGGAGGTGCATGGATTGGAAGCATATGGCGAAAATGGTTTGGGTATTTAATGGGTGAGAATGGAACCCACATACTCGCGCAGCCCCCAATGTTGCATGCTGCCCACCAGGTTGAATCATCTGACGTTCGAGACGTCTCCTGCAAACAACACAAATGGAGGTCAATGGTCACAACGGCGTATGAAATGCACACTCACAACATTGCAAATGTACTGTCTACTTGCATGTATAATGCACCAAATTGCCTGTTCGTGACA